CGGACCGGTTCCAAAATTAAAAAATAACGGGTACCCGGCCCGGCCCGTTATATATATTGTATATTAATTTATTAATAGTTTTTTTATAATCGGTTTTGAAATAGTTTTGTTTCCTGTGCTAGAAGTAGGATTTTAAATTGAGTTGCAGTAACATCCTTTTACTTTTGTTTTCAAATTATTGATTAAATGTTTCATAAATATCTTTTTACTTTTTATTGTTAATTAATTATTCCTTTCTATCGAATTTAATTATTTGTTAAAGACGATTTTGTTATATTTTTTTGTTATATTGTTATTAAAACATATAAATTGTGTTTACCACCCACCATGTATGTGTCAACTTTGGCTAATACTGAAAATTTAATATAAAAAAAAGCAATCACTTAAATATGTGATGTTAGACAACATGTTTAAATACAAATGTTAGAAAATATGTATTTTGGCTATGTTGCATATTTTTGGAATTTCTTTAATTGTTTGAAACTTATATACAAGAAAATATGGAGTATTGGACTTTTCACTTGTGTTATATATGCACCACTATGTTGTTATTTTGAAACTTGCTAATGTCCTATATTATTGATTATTGATTTTTGGAACTTCGTGAGTTTTTACTAATTTCAAGACATGAGAATAGAAACCGTAAAACCCGGACCGGACCGACCCGTTTCAAACGGGCCGGGTAATTTCCGGTTCCTATTTTGAAAATTGTAATACCCAGACCGGACCGGACCGAACCGTACAATGGAACCGGCGGTTCCATTTTATTTTGTATTACCCGCCCCGACCCGGCCCGTGCCCAGCCCTAGTGGATAGCTTGGGAGGACTTCTCAATAACAAGTAGGTCTACTTTATTCTGATTCCAAAGTAGAATAATCCCACCAGAAAATCCCAAAGGCGGCACAAAGTCCCAACAGCTCATACCCAATTTGCTAGCCATTTTAACCATTTTAGTGTAGTTACTAGACTTAGTTTCCAGTAAGCCCAGAATATCTGGACGTTGTGTGCTTATAAGATCCTTAACTTGTCGAATGACCCGCGGATTAGCAATCCCTCGGCAGTTCCAAGTGAGTACTTTCATTTCAACTGGGGTGATAAGTTAGAAGCAGACGCTTCCAAGTGGAATTTTTCTAATTCAGGAACTAGTTCCATAGCGTGAGCCTTTTCATCTCCTGTATCCACCTCCAGGATAGTTTTAGTATTCAGTTTTGGCATGCCTCCTTTCACATTCTCTCCCGGTGAAGGTATGGAGACCTCCTCGGTCTCACTTGTGGACCCAAATTGAAATATACTTTGGTTAATATGAGGTGAAATATAACTTACCACCTTTGGGGTATGAACTTGCAAATTCTTTTTTGTATCCGTTTTCTTACCCTGCTGTTTCAGCCCTTGATTATGTCCATGTCCTGTATGGGCCCCAATCCCCCTAATTATTTTGTTATCCTTGTTTGCTGAGTTAACAAATATGACCATCAAGTTGTATTTAATAGTTTGTGTTTGAGTTTGAAGGGATGGTTCCTAGTGAATTTTTCTTCCATTGATACAATGGTGTGGAAGATTTCATTTCCTACAAGGCAAAATGTGTTTTTTGTGTGGAAGATTTCATTTCCTACTACATAAAAAAAGCCTCAACCACCACTTTATGCCCTCAGCCACGTTCCAACATTGATCGCTGGAAAAAAATGTTAGGGAGGTTTCCCAAAATAGAAGTGATTGGAGTTTGGAATTCCAAAATAGGACTATTATGTTTTTATTTCCGAAATATGACTAACATGACAATATTTACTGTCATCTTGTAGGCATGATTGCCAAATAGTTGCAGTACAGTGCATTTAACATGACAGTATTTATTGTAATTAATGGCAATATGTTTCAATCATGACAGTATTTTTCATACATGACAATAAAAACTCATATTTCGGGAAGAAAAAATAGCAGTCATTTCTGAAAGCAAAGATGAATATTTTCAAATAGTATAAATGACATTTTCATGACAATATTAGAGGAATCTGTCATTTTTTACACAAGACATTTTGCCGACAATTTTAGCCGGTGGTCTTATCAGGTGGAGGATGTGGCCTAAATTTTTTAAACATTTTTTAATATCTCTTAGGTATTTTTCTAATTTTATTTATTTATTCTTTATATTTTATTTTTTCCCTTTTTTATAAATAAAACTATAGTTTTCTTATTAATAAAATAAATCTAGTAGAAATTATAGAAAGGGAGTATAATAGGAAGAAGAGATACATGTTACTTCTATTTTTGGAAAAGAATGTTATAGTCCTATTGTTGCATCTAGAACTGTTTTTAGTTCTACTTAGAGATAATAGCCGTTATTTAGATATGGAGGGAATATATACATGTAAAAATAATCTCTCATGTAAATCAGCACACCTAATTAGGGTAGAGTAACATAATCATGATTTGTATTGTGTATTTACATATTGTGTATTTACAATCTAAAATCTACTTAGATCTAAAATAAAGAAACACCATATCCTTGAAACAACTATATCATTCTTTGCCTACAATACCATATTAAAGTAAAATTTTATAGTACTCTCTCGGTCCCATTAAAATTGTTCTATCTTTCCTTTTCGATCCATCTCACTAAGATGCTCTTATATAAAAAAAATATATTAAGTTTATAGGGAAAACTGTCAAATAGGTTCTCGAACTTTCATAAAAAAGTCGATTAAGTCCTTCTATAGGACACTCTGTCTGGCCGTCGCGATTTGGGGCGGTTCCGGTGGAATTTTTTGATGAATTTTTTTGAGCATCTTATTCATCTAGTCTAGTTTACTCATACCAAATTTCAGCTAAAAATTCCATTGGGAACACATTCAAATGAATTCGAGAACGCAAAAATGCGCAGTTATCTTCAAGAATTAATTTGAATGTGTTCCCGATTGAATTTTTAGCTGAAATTTGGTATGAGTAAACTAGACTTGATGAATAAGATGCTCAAAAAATTTCATCAAAAAATTCCACCGGGAACCGCCCCAAATCGCGACGGCCGGATAGAGTCTCCTATAGAAGGACTTAATTGACTTTTTTATGAAAGTTCGAGGACCTATTTGACAGTTTTCCCAAGTTTATATGATTCTTAATCATTCTTACTTTATTCTTGATTAATGTTGTGTGATTCTAAATCATCCATTCTTATTTGATTATTATATCGATTCAATATTAATCACATAAACATATTTTTTCCCCTAATAACCACAACACATGTTCCAATGTTAATGGGACGAAGGTAGTAATTAAAAACAAAAGTTTAACTTTTAGGTTTTTTAGTGCTCGTTTAGTAAACTCGGTTCTTCCCAATTTTTATACCAAACACATAACTGTTGATGGAAACCAGTGGCAATGGCCGCAGGTCAGAGGCCGGGGTGGCGGCCGGCGGCAATGGCTAGGCACTCCAAAAGGCTACATGGGTATATTTGTCCAAACTCACATGATTAGTTCTATTTAGGAAATTTAAAACAATGTAGTTTTATTTGTGAATTTTTTTATCATGTTTTACTTTCATTTAGGTAATTTACTCTTATTATTGCATATATAAATTTAAAAGATTAGTAGAAGTTCCAACTGCTAAAACTCTTATAACATGGTTATAATTGTTTACATCTTTTAGTTTTTTTTCGAAAATAGGTTTGAAATAACAACAAAATCAATCTCCAAATTTATTTCTTTTTACCTCAAAATGATTGACTTTTTAAATCATATTCTCTCCATCCTATAAAATTCCTTCCACTAATCATTTTGGGACATCCCGAAAAATTCTTCTCATTTTCTCTTTTGAAAAGGTTTGTGTCGCATATATTCATTTACTTTTTTTGAATTCAACCACAACCATATGTTTTCACTTTATTCTTACTTTCTTATACTCCGATCCAACTCAAACCAAGAAGAATTTGAAAGGATGGAAGGAGTAATTTTTAAAGTAATGATTTAATAAAAAAAATATATGTTTGGCGAATATATTGGAGGTGCAAAATTACATGGATAAGGTGGATTGACGGGCTAAATATGCAATTTCGTAAAAACTTATTGAGAATTTAATTTATTAACAAACATTATTGCAGTTCGCCTCAGGTTTGTCTGATTTGAGGGTAACAAGGAGATCCTTATTTTTGTAAATTCATCTTACGAACAGGCTTTTTAAAAATTAATAATTTATTTGATTGTATTGATTACTTTGACGTATTATAAACACAATAATAAAAAGAGAAAGGTGGAAAAGAAATGAAAAAATGAGGTGAAAGAGTCACTCAGAGAAAATGGAGCATGTATACAAGTTTTGGGATTCAAGAGGTGTTTGATCTGATTTTAAAACTGCTACTGCTTCATCAGGGAGCAGAAACAAAAGTTGGAGTGTTTGGGTGAAAGTGCAAAAGTACTTCTGGTGCTCTAATTTACTCCTAGAATAAGTTTTTTAGAAGTTGGGGGAGACCAGCGTATGAAAACTGATTCTACTTCTACTTTAAAAAAGAAGCAGAAGCAGAATCAGTTCCAAAACCCCCCTCAGTAACATAAGATAACCTTTGACAAATCAAATGCTATTCTCGTGGTCAACTCGTGTGGAGAGTGAAACCCGTGGGTAGCTTGCAGAGTTTAAACAACTACGTGGCGGAGAGAAACGTGTGATGCAGCTTAGGTGACATTGGTGGCAATCTCAACTAAACCACTCCCTGTAACAACATGTTCAAAACCGTTCCCATTGTGGGCCTCATTGATTCCTAGGTCGGCCACTTACCAGACTCTTTACGTATTGCGGTGAAGAGGTTGGACCAGCCAAGCGACACTAAGAGGAGTTCCGAGCGAAGATCTCCACATTGGGAAACATTCATCGTATTAATCTCTTCAGAGAGGCCCACAATGGGAAGGGAGTGGTTTCCCAATGTGGAGATCTTCACTCGGAACTCCTCTTAGTGTCGCTTGGCTGGTCCAACCTCTTCACCGCAATACGTAAAGAGTCTGGTAAGTGGCCGACCTAGGAACACGCTCCACACCCTCCCTGCCCCAATTTCTCAGAGAATCCTTTTGTTGCATCATGAAGCTCCTCCTGAGAAAATAGTTTCAAATTTGTCGTCACTCCAAACACGTCTTCTCCACCTCTGACTTCTTCCCCAAACTTTTTCTCCTTAAAATAAAAAGTAGACAGTCCAAGTAAGAAAGTTCTCAAAACCACGCAGTTGCTTGCTCCTAACAGTAAAAATCTCTTCTTTTTCTCATTCCAAGAATTAACATTGTTTATCTTCACTCTCAAAAACAACAAATCATCATCACCACCATCCAAAGTAGAAAAGTCGTTACTCAGATTCAATAACTCCTCAAACATATTTGTACAAAGACGGGTTCCTTCATTATAATGACGACCAATACAAGAACAATTACCTAAGCATCGCTTTGTGCAGGTGTCCATAGTTCCAGTGAATGACACAGTTCTTGCTCCACCATATCTCATTGTCCTAATTTGTTTAAACCCACCATTGTAACTACCACATGTATCATTATGGAGGCTACAACCGCCAGAAAGTCTCCTACACGCCAAGAATCATCATCCTGTGGTTCAAACCCCATAATACATTTGCATGGACTCAAAGCAGAATTAGTGTCACAAAATCTCATATTCCCACAAAATCCATAAATCAAACATGGGTTCTGAGGTATTGACCAGAACATGTTCCCATTCTCAGTCTCGAGATACCATGTGTACTGCTTAAGTTGCCGGGTGTGGTCCAGATGGAAACGAGTCATCATCCCATATTCTATTGTAGCCTCAGAGTACCCCAAGGATGCCATTGGAGTGAAAGGTCAGAAAAATGTGGAATATTTAATGTAAGAAAGATTAGTTATCTCAAAGACTGAAGCAAAGGCTTTTCTAGTCCAGTTTCCATAGCACTAATAGGTATTGTTAACATTATTGTCATTATACACCATAGTCAACTCACCGTATGTCGGAAGCAAGATCCAGTGAGAATACCTTCCCTACGATGGGTCGTTGGAGCCTTTCCATGAAGTAAGCCGGTTCTGAGCTGTCAGGTTCATGCCCGGAAGCCACTTGTCTATCCGGAAATCAATGCTTTACCAAATGAACACTTCTTCACTATCATAAACCATCAGATTCCCTTCCTCCATGAGTTTCACTCCACTAGCGTTTTCGGTGTTTCCGTTCATTTCCCAAACAACTGAACCTTCTTCATCACTTTTCAGAACTAACTTCCTTTCATGTTTGGTTATCTCCAGCCTAGCCCATGATAGATTCTTGATTGGTTTCTCTCTATTTGCCCCCCCCCCCCCCCCAAACATAGGTTGGAGTGGGAATTGAAGCATACCATATGTCCAAATACCAACTGGATTGATTGTCATCTGTGTTGAAACATCCCAACACGAATGTCTTCTTCTCACTGAGTATCTTTTCATACCCATTCAACACAACACCTGATTTTTGCAAAAAAAAAAAAATGATCATTTCCTCTATCAAAATAAAATAAACCTGGATTACGATCGAAGAGCTCTTCAATCGTAATCCAGATTTTTTCCATCTTGATAGAGGAAGGATCATTTTTTGCTAAAGAGTGTTGTGTTGAATATGTATGGTAAGATATTCAGTGAGAAGAAGACGTTCGTGCTGAGCTTCTTCAGCACAAATGACAACCAATCTAGTTGGTATTTGGGCATATGGTATGCTTCAACTCCCAATCCAACCTATGTTTGGGTGGCAAATAAGGAGAAACCAATTAAGAATCTATCACGGGTTAGGCTAGAGATAACCAAACCTAGAGGGATGTTAGTTCTGAAAAGTGGTGAAGAAGGTTCTTTTGTTTGGATAACAAACGGCAGCCTGAGAACGTTAGTGGAGTAAAGCCCATCGAGGAAGGGAATCTGGTGGTTTGTGATAGTGAATGAGTGTTCATTTGGTAAAGTTTTGATTTTCCGACAGACACGTGGCTTCTAGGCATGAACTTGACAGCTCAGGCCCACTTACTTCATGGATAAGCTCCAGCAACCCATCGCATGAAAGGTATTCTCACCAGCTCCTGCTTTCGACATGCGATGAGTTGACTCTAGTGTATAATCACATCAATGTTAACAATACCTATTGGTGTTCTGGAAATGCCTTTGTAGGAGGAGTCCTTGAGATGATTAATATACCTTAGATTAAATATTTCACATTTACTCGACGCGTTTACTACAATGGCATCCTTCAGGTACTCTCAGGCTACTATAGAACACAAGGTAATGACTCGTTTCCATCTGAACCACACCGAGCAACTTAAGCAGTACACATGATATCTCAAGACTGAGAATTGGCACATGTTTTGGTCAATACCTCGGAACCAATGTTCAGTTTATGGATTTTCCAAGAATAAAGGATTTTGTGACACTAATTCTGCTTTGAGTCCATGCAAATGTATTAGGGGTTTGAGCCGCTGGATGATGGTTCTTGAAGTGCAGGAGACTTTTCTAGTGGTTGCAGCCTCCCTGATGATACATATATTAATGGCAATGGTGGGTTTTAACAAGTCGGGACCGCAAGTTATGGTGGAGCAAGAACGGTGTCTTTCACTAGAACTATGGACACCCGCAAAAACCGATGTTTGGGTAAATTCTCTTCTATTAGTCTTCATTATAATGAAGGAACCCGTCTCTGTACAAATATCAGGGAGTTGTTGAATGTGAGGAACGACTATTCTACTTCAAATGGTGGTGATGATTTGATGTTTTTGAGAGTAAAGACAGACAATGTTAATACATGGAATGACAATAAGAAGAAAAGATTTCTATTGATAGGAGAAAACAATTGTGTGTTTTATAACTTTCTTACTTGAACTTTCCACTGTTTTTGTTTTAAGGAGAAAATTTCTGTGGAAGAAATCAAAGGAAGACATGTTTGGAGCGGCGTAAAATTTGAAACTATTTTCTCGTGAGTAGCTTCATTATGTAACGAAGGTAAAGAGCTAAGGCAGGGCGGGTGTGGAGCCATGCTTTCTAGGTTGGCCAACTATGCGACAGTGAGGAGTTCATGGGGGCTCTGTTGCGAAGACACTCACAATTTTTAGTTTACGATTGCATGCCAAACGGTCCTCTCAGCGCATACTTACACGAGGCAGTAAAGCGCTACCTTGAGATGTCCAATTATGGGTTGACGTTGTGAGAGGAATCGCCTACTTACACGAGGATTGTTGGAGCTGTATCGTACACGGTGACATCAAACGGGAGAATATTCTCTTGAAAGGAGATTTCCCGGCAAAGGTTTCAGATTTCGGGTTGGCGAAGCTCTTGTGTGGGGACCCTCAGCACATTGTTGGGGACGATGGGAGGGACTCAGGATATGTTGCACCGAAGGTGGTCTCTTCGTCAGAAATCACCACTAAAGCTGACATATACAGCTATGGGATGACCATGCTCGAGCTGATCAATGGAAGGCGCAATGTGGAGGGCCTGTCGCCTCCTTCCGATGAGGATGAGGGTGAGAAGTAGTTTTTCTCTCCGTGGTTGGCATAACAAATAATAGAAGGGAACATTGCAGTAGTTGTGTAATTATTCGAATAAATTTGTATTTAAAAAACATACCATCGGGTGCGGAAATAAATTTATATATAAAGTTCGGGGTATATGTATTACATATGCAAGTTTGAAGTACTTATCGGCGGAGTGAATTTGCTTTGTTTATAAGTGAAGTGGATATTTAGATAAAATGTATTTATAGGATGCCCAAAAATTTTCTTTTTTATTGTGGAAACCCTAGTAGTATTGGGCTTAGCCCATTTTGTATATCTTGTATAGGAAACCCTAGCACTCTAAATATAGCTATAAATATAGCTTCTTGTATAGGATTTCATAGGAAGTATAATGAATACAATCTTATATTTCACATGGTATCAGAGCCTATACGGCAAATATAGTTAGCTAGTTAGCCTTATAAACTGCCGCTCCGAATCCGGACAGAAGTTCAGGCCATAATTTCCGGCGTGAATAGTGGTCGCAACTCACTTGAGTGCTTTTGGTAGTGATACAAGCCTACCATCGTGCTCAACTCTACATAGCGACTTACCGCCGGAAGTTTCGCTGCCGCTGCCTCACCCACGCGCCGCCGTCGGTCGCTGAAAGTCCGCACCTGCAGGTACACATCTTTGCAGATCTGCTCCGTCTTAGTCATCTGCGAGCGACACCGACGGGTTTTTCAGATACCTAGGTCCCTGACGACCTAGACCAGTCAGTCCGGTCCGCCGCCGCTTCCACACGCGCCGCCGCCGCTTCCACGCGCGCCGCCGCCGCCGCTTCCACACGCGCCGCCGCCGTTGACCGCCGTCTCCCTGTGTCGACGCTCGCCGCAGCCGCCCTGCAGTCTCCCTGCGCCGTCGTCCGCACCTCCCAAAGAAGATAGAGGTCTGTTTTCTTCATCCTTGTGTAGCTACAGTGCTTCAACCTGCTGCCTTCAACCTGCTGCCTGGGAAACCTTACGGCTGCTTCACTTCAATTTAATTGCAGTTGCACTACTTTAAATATTTTATTTTTTGCTTCTCTTTAAAAAAAAAACAAAAAAAAAAAACAACAACAAAAAAAAAAAGAAAAAAAAAAGGAAAAAAAAAATGTCTTTTATGAATTGAGCCCATCGTGGCCACGCCCGTTGATTCCCCTATGACGGATCCTGCATCACCACCATCACCTACTCCAGCACTTGACACCACTCAGGATAATTTGCCAATTGCTCTCCGAAAAGGTACGCGTTCCACATTGAATCCACATCCCATATATAACTTTTTGAGTTATCACCGCCTCTCTACGCCTTACTATGCCTTTATTTCCCACCTATCTCATATATGCATTCCTAAAACCACACATGAGGCACTGGCACACCCGGAGTGGCGTAAAGCCATGTTGGCTGAGATGGAGGCTCTCCATACTAGTGGGACATGGGACTTAGTCCCCCTTCCCACTGGCAAATCAGTGGTGGGATGTCGGTGGATTTACACGGTTAAAGTTGGGCCTGATGGGGAGATTGATCGTTTTAAAGCACGCCTTGTGGCGAAAGGGTATACTCAGATATATGGCTTGGATTACACTGACACTTTTTCTCCTGTAGCGAAGATTGCATCAGTTCGTTTGGTTTTATCCATGGCAGCAATGAGCCGCTGGCCATTGTTCCAATTGGATATTAAAAACGCATTCCTTCATGGAGATCTGCACGAGGAAGTTTATATGGAGCAACCACCTGGATTTGTTGCTCAGGGGGAGTCTGGTATGGTGTGCAGATTACGTCGTTCATTATATGGCTTGAAGCAATCTCCACGTGCATGGTTTGGGAGGTTCAGTGCCGTTGTTTGCAGCTTTGGCATGATTCGCAGTGATGTTGATCATTCTATATTCTACAGACATTCTGCTGGCAACAAATGTATTTATCTTGTTGTGTATGTTGATGACATTGTCATTACAGGTAGTGATGATCAAGGAATTGCGCTCCTCAAGCAACATCTGTTTAGCAAATTTCAAACAAAAGACTTGGGAAAGTTGAGATACTTCCTTGGCATTGAGGTTGCACAGTCTCAAGATGGAATTGCTCTCTCACAAAGAAAGTATGCCTTGGATATTCTTGAGGAAACAGGTTTGCTAGATTGCAAGCCAGTGGATACACCAATGGATCCGAACGTTAAACTCTTATCAGAACAGGGAGATCTTTTGCCCAACAAGGAAAAATATAGAAGACTCATCGGAAAATTGAATTATCTTACCATCACGAGACCAGATATTTCATTTGCGGTAAGTGTTCTTAGCCAGTTTCTTGATAAGCCATGTACTGGACATTGGGATGCAGCTATTCGAGTTTTGAGATACATCAAGAAAAATCCAGGGCAAGGATTGTTGTTTGAAGATCGAGGCCACCGTGATATTGTGGGATACTGTGATGCAGACTGGGCCGGATGTCCGATGGATAGACGTTCCACTTCGGGATATTGCATCTTGATTGGTGGAAACTTAATTTCATGGAAAAGTAAGAAACAGGATGTGGTTGCCAGATCTAGTGCTGAAGCAGAATATCGTGCAATGGCCCTTGCTACCTGTGAAATCTTATGGTTGAACCATCTCCTCCAAGAGTTAAAATATGGAAACACAAAACCGGCTCAACTCATGTGTGATAATCAAGCCGCAATGCACATCGCATCAAATCCGGTATATCATGAGAGGACAAAACATATTGAAGTTGATTGTCATTTTATCCGAGAGAAGATCACCAGTGGACATATCATCACAAAATATGTGAACACAACTGAACAACTTGCAGATATTTTAACTAAGTCTCTTAGAGGTCCTAGAGTGGAATATATTTGTAACAAGCTTGGTACATATGATTTATATGCTCCAGCTTGAGGGGGAGTGTGGAAACCCTAGTAGTATTGGGCTTAGCCCATTTTGTATATCTTGTATAGGAAACCCTAGCACTCTAAATATAGCTATAAATATAGCTTCTTGTATAGGATTTCATAGGAAGTATAATGAATACAATCTTATATTTCACATTTATTACCCCTAAAATTTTGTCACTTTCACTTTTAAGCTATTAATTTGTTATTTTTTGTTATGCCTCTACATACTTTTACCACATAATTAGCCAAATGCATGATCGTAAACTAAACCGGTTCTATGTTGTAAATCGAGGTATAATACTTTACAATCCCCTCTTGTCCATTCCTCTCATATACTACGTAATATTTTGCTAACCTCTATTACTCAAGATAACGACGAAACTGGAGAATAAGGTCGACACAGAATATAGCGATGAAAATTAAGGTACAACAAGGAGGTACGCATAGAGTATAACGATGCGTATATAAACTTTAGAAATCACTGGCTAAAGGTCGACACAGAATATAACGATGAAAAACTGGTTCTATGCTGTAAATCGAGGTCAATGCAGAAAATGCGCATAGAGCTTTTTAGCCGGTGATTTCTAAAGTCGGAATTTTTTTAAGTTTACGACTGTGCGCGGTGATCCCACTGATCCAGGTCATTTCACGATCTTTAGCAGACACGGGATCACATGACATCGTAGGAAGCATTTCAGATCGTGCAATTGTACGATCCTATGCACATTTTAACTCCATCCTATTGCATTTTGCATGGTAGATAAAATTGTGAAATAACTCCATTTTTTTTTTATCTTTGGTGACTCTGTCTTTGGGCTTATCAGTAAACATTTTAACCAAACACGTAACTTTTATTTCACGCGCTGAATTGTGTAATAGTAAAGAAAAGGTAAGGTTGAAGTTATTTATAGCTATATTTTTTTCTTTAATTTATTAATAAAATATATTTTAAATATAACTTTTTCATAAATCCGCAGAATCGGCTAATACAGCCACTTGAGCAAGAATTTCATAAATTCAGCAGAATCAACCACTTCAGCCGATTTCATGTTACCACACACGCTCCAAGTCTTTTAAAATTAAAAAGTTAAAACTTCAATATTGAAAAAATCAAAGAACTAAAATTAAAAAATAATGGATTTAAAAAGTAAAAAAATTAATTTTTTTTAAAATTTGAAAAACATAAAAATTTAAATTGAATAAATGAAAATTTTAAAAACTGTAAATAGAATAACTGAAAAACTAACAAAATTGTATATTCGTAAAACTGAAAAATAAAGAGTTGAAAACTGAAAAACCAAAAAATTGAAAATCAAAAAATGAATAAAAAAATTACAAAGTTATAAATTTATAATACGGACTTATGAACTTAGATAGTAATGTGTGGGAGTTTACACCACACAACCGTGATTCCCAATTAGTGATTCCCATTTTTTTTACCAAAGTTTTCAGATTCATATGACAGAGACTTTTTGTCTCCTTCATATTGTATGACAGATACAATATAGCTTTTTGCTGCCTGGCAAGCAGCATTTACAGTAATTCAATTTACTCTTTAAGAGTAGGAATTAAAGAAAGAGGACACATGACTGAACAAGCGAATGAACCTGATCTATTTAATCATTGGTGGCATGTTCATCACTGTTTCCTTCAGTTCCCACATCTGTAAAGGCATCTTTTTCTTCTTGAGAAACTGAACTGGATGATTCATTTGGATTCTTGTTTTCGAGCAATTCTTCATTTCCAAAATTTAATGAATCTGTTGATCTGTTTTCATCCAAATTGGTAGTTATTTCATCATCAATTGACGCTTCGACTGTTTCTTCTGTATCAGTATTAATAGAATCACCGATCTCTTCCCCTCCAGTTGAATCTGTGCTATCACTTAGTCCATCAGCTGAGGCTTCTGAAATTGTCCCATTCATCATGAAATAGTTGAGTTTGAATCATCTATGATTTTCTCATCACTTTGAATACAGCTCTCACCATGTTCTTCCTGCTTTTCATCTCTTGATTTACTGTCATTGTTTTCCGCAACTTGAGCATCCTTATGTTCACCTCCATTTTCATTTGTTTCCTCGTCTCCATCCTCTTTGCTTCCACTGTTCTCTTCTTCACTTCCATTTTCCACTTCTGTCTCCTTGTCTGTCCCATCTTCACTACCATTCTCATTCTTTTCTTCTCCGGCATCATCATTATCTGCCGTTTCTTTCTCCAAATCTTTGTGTTCCATATCTCTCTCTCCCTCACTTCCAGTTTCCTCTTCTTCATCCTTTTGCACCTTTTCTTCTATAGTTTCCTTACCTTCATTGCTTTCTGCCTCTGAGTTATCTTCTGCTTTTACATCTCCATCATTATTTGGCTCACTTTCATCTTCCACCTCTTCATCTGGATCATCATTGTTTGTTAAACCTTCAACATCTTCTTCATCAGTTTGAGGTTTAAGGAATTTCCTTCCCAGGTTTAAGATACAATTACCAGTCTCCGCCTTCTCAGAGAGGCTAGTTGATTCTCCAGATGCTTCTTTCTTATTAGTGGAGGAGTGCTGGACTTGATAAAGCAGCCAAATGCAAACGCCTACCAGTACACATATCTGAAGAGCATGCTTCACTTTGAAGCCATTGTTTTTGTTGTTCCTCCGTGGAAACAGCTTGAACATGATTATTTGTCTCGTGCAGCCTTCTAGATACGATTTGCAAACATTTTCACAATACAAATGAGTACATTATGGGCGTAAATACTATGTGTGCAAATGGTAAACTTGTTTCGGCGAAGGTGAACGAATTATTGAGAACTAAAGGGACGGTTAGAGCCTTGATGTCTTTCATCTGGAAAGGGTACATTCATTCTAAGTTCTCTTTTACCGTTTGGTTGGCTTTTCGGAACCGATTACCAACGCAAGATAACCTCTCTTACCTCAACATGGCAAACAATTGTGACCTTTGCAAGGGTGGTTTGGAAACAATACCACACCTTTTCTTTGTTTGTTATCTTTCTTGCAGGATATGGACTAGAATTAAATATTGGATTGGCATGGAGCAACAAATGAGCACACCGGTGAGTGTGGTCAAATGGATTAGAAAGAAGCATAGAGTGGGTGCACTTATCTGGTCAAAGACAGTCGGATTAGCATTTTGTGCTACTATTTATTGGATTTGGCAAGTGAGGAACACTTTCTGTTTTTAGGATAACTCAAAGACTGAAGATGAAGTCATTGCAAAAATTAAACATGTGGTTACAAAATACTTTATAGTATCTGTCTGTTCGAGATGATTAGATTTTAATTTTTGGTGATATCAAGCTCTTTGGTGTGCCATGGGCTAGTGATGTTTAGATAAACTTTATGTGTTACAAAATACTTTATAGTATCTGTCTGTTCGAGATGATTAGATTTGAAGCACCGATTGTTAGGTTTTGGTTTTGCTGGTTTAGCTTGCCATTTTTATGGGGCTTTTTTTTTTCTCCACTTCTCCTAGAGTCCTAGATTAGCGGTGACCTCCTTCATGGAGCGTTGCCTTAAATTTTTGGACACAAGGTGTTCGTGTTACTTTTTGGGATGACTAGTATGTTTGGATAAATCATACATAAACTCAAAGAATTTCATTGTCAATTAATCTAACTCGAAACATAAAATTAAAAACTAAAACAAAATAATCAAATTAAAGCATAAAATAAAATAAGTTTCATATTAATACGAAATTAAAAAATAATGCTCAACATCAAGTACAAATCATGATGCGATATACGTAGCAATGAGTATGCATGTATGCAAAGTAAGGGAACTATAAATTAGTATAAACTTCTATGTATACTACATTGAATGCCGACTTCGTTGGTTTCCCTTCTTCGTCACATATAACAAACTTAAATCCAGACGAACTTGTTACTCTTGAGATCGCCACATACAACTGTCCATGCGTAAAAACAGGCCGACGGAGGAAGATGCCAACCTTTTCCAATGACTGTCCCTGGCTCTTATTAGGGGTGGACCGGTTCCGGGCCGGGCCCGGTTCAGGCCTTGAACCGGACGGGCCTCGGTTCAAGGTAGGGGAGGCCCGGAACCGGGCCGGGCCAGGCCCGGTTCGGTTCTATATAATTTTTTTTTTTGGGTTTTCCTAATCAACCACCTACCCTCCCCCTCAACCCCAAACCACCTCGAATGGCCCAAAATACCCAATCCAACCCAAAAACTTAAAAGAAATTAAAAAAAATTATCCGGTCCGGACCAGGCCCGAACCGGCCGGGCCGGTTCACCAAAATGAAGGCCCGAGCCCGGAACCGGTAGCCACCGGGCCGGGTCGACCCGAACCGCCCATGGGCCGGGCCGCCGGGCCGGGCCGGTTCAAACAGTGACCGGGCCGGGCCGGTTCTGGTTCGGGCCGCCCGGCCCGAGTCCAACCCTAGCTCTTATGAATGGTCATTGCATAGTTAACCATTAACGGAAATAGTCTACGCTGAAAAGTGAACGGGAGACCAATGTTTGATGCTGTCAAAGTAAGGCGGGGAATAAGAAACTTTTCACCGGCATTTTCTCTGTGCATCATCTGAGCCTCAATAATATGAGCTCCAAGTTTAGTGACCAGAAGCCGTGTGCCATTTCACAATCCAGATGAATGATCTATATTCCTCATAGCATCACATGAACTCCAACTTTCAGCTTCAGCTCATGACTTAGCAAGCCAGAACATTTGATACTATTAAGAAATTCAGGAGAATGTATCTCGTGCAAGAGATCATTACTATCTGGCTCAACATGTAATCGTTGACCTTATCAAACTCATCTATGGTCGGAGCAAGAATAGCCCTGGAATAAAGATAATTAATCGGATCACTCTGGGTTAAGAAATCAGGATAAATAGCTTGAACTATAGATTCAACGGGATCAAACGTCATTGGAGCGATCATGTCATCTGGTATATCAATGAGTGATTCTCCATCTTCATTTTCAGAAAAAGCTCCGTCACCAATCTTCAAAATCCACTCCGCAAAAGATTGGATAGTTAGTCCATCCGGCTGGCCGAGCATCCTTGCCAGCCTCATGTTTTTAGTAAGCCTCACAGGAATGAACTGTTCAGTGCAGCGTGCACAATATCTTGTCTCGTGCCTTTTGGTATCACAGGAAGAATATGCCTAAAGTCACCACCAAATACAATAGTCTTCCCACCAAAAGGCAAGGTAGTGTCACAATGGCTTGAGTAACGAAGCACATCTCTCATACTCCGGTCAAGAGCTTCGAAACAGTGTCGGTGCGTCATCGGTGCCTCATCCCATATAATCAACTTAGATAACTCTATGAGCCTAGCCAACGGACTACCATGTTTTGTGTTGCACGTGGAGTCTTCTATAACACTAAGTTGAATCGCAAACCTCGAATGTGCGGTCCTTCCTCCAGGCAAGAGAAGCGATGCTATACCACTTGAAGCAACGTTAAGAACTATATCACCGCGAGATCTCACAGCTGCAGACAAAGTCCTCCATAGACATGTTTTCCCAGTTCCTCCATGGCCATATAAAAAGTAGAATTTCCCGTCTCTACTATCTACAAATTCCATTATTCTGTCATACACAACACGTTGTTCATTTGTCATATCGGCCAACAACTTTGCATGCACCTCCATCAAATACGATTTATTATACCGCAGCTCTTCACGATTGTGAACTTTTTCAAGCGAGGGCATTTCATCATTAGGTAGCAAGGGTATGCCAGCAAAATCACGTAGTGATCTACCTCTTGACTGCAAGAGCTTCTGAATCTCCAACAAACAGTACTTTTCAATTTTCTCTTGGTCGAGTTCAAAATATGCAGTAGCGCATTTAAATATTTTAGTAGGTTAGTTAAGATTAATCTAATAAATAAAATATTCCACAATATATACATTTCATCACAACCAAATTACACATACAATACTTTTAACTTTAATTAACATGTAAATAAAGAAAAAATGTTTACTAATTCAGTATTTAAATATTGCATCTTTTATTAAATTCATCACTCAACATGAAAAGATGCATAACTTTTTTGTATTTTTTAAGTGAAAATGTAGAGTAAAAAATTAAGTAATAATAAAAGTGCTATTATTTGTATTAATTGATAGACCTTTATTTGTAAACCTTTTTAGATTTTTTCCGTCAATTTAGAAAGTGTAATAAGTTCACTCTAAGTATATTTTTTATACTACTATTAAAAAATATCCAAAAGCCGTATATCTAACATAGTAAATACTATTCCGGTAGTAAACTACGTTACTATACATAATTTTACATAGTAACGTAGTATAAGCTATCGTTCATATTCTCTAAATAAATATTTTGTAATAAATAATTTTAATAAGGGAATAAACTACTACTAGTAACATTTAGTATATTTAAAAAATATTTTATGGTGATTTTTTTCATATATATATATGTGTGTGTATATGTGTGTGTGTGTGTGTGTGTATATATACACACACTTAAATAAGTACTTAACCGCCCGTGTTTGGTTACACCACTCGACATTAATGTGGGCGCTATACTTCAACAATAAGCCACGGTTGTGTGGGATGACATATCTATTATCGAGATCGTGGGTATTTTTAGTAACATACCTGCCATTTTCTCTCTGTCTGTAAACAGGATAACATTGCTTATCAATGCAGTACGAACGACAAATCTCTTTGAAAAGTGCTTTGTGCAACGGCTTTTTTCTGTGCATGGTGCAGATGCATTCATAGGGCCACATGGACCGTGGATCATTAATTCTTTAACTGCAATGTAATAAACAGGGTCAGCATATTCATCTAGGATCTCTGCTGAAATAATTCTATCGATCATCACCGATGGGTTTGCATTGCGCTCTGTCATCGAAAGTCACAAACTCACAATACAATGTGTGCATGTGGTAATCCACGTTTCTGAAACTCCACAGTGTAGACAACTGCATAACAAAATTAAAATAAATTTTTTTGATTAATAAGATAATTAGTTTAAAATTTTCAAGTGATTGTTATATTTATTGTATACATAAGTGACACATGTTTTTTGAAAAAAAGTGACACATGTGCTTGAGGATATACACATATAGGTTCTCTATCGCAGAACATTTTTTTATGTATTTCACATCATAGTTCATCTCTACAAAAATGTTTTTTATATTTCAAAATTAAGCTAAACATAACATGGAATTCATTACTTTTATAAAACCATAGTTATCTATATTTATATGTTTATCGGCCAATTTCTAAATCTGTTATACAAAACTATACAAAAACACAAATACATAATATCTAAACTTCCTAAACACATACATACATAGAGAATTGATCTCCTCAGACGGTCCGCACCAGAACCGCTGTCTATATGTATGACTAATGTTCCTATTCGTCCGGACTGACCGGAACCGCCATCCGGACGACGCAATTTGAGGAGCTTCCCGGTGGACGTTTTTGAAGATATTTTGTGAGATTATTCTTCATAAAGTTTTTATTGTATCCAAAAAGTTTCAGCTTAAAATTCAATAGGGAAGCTAATTAAATAAATCATTGAAACACACTGCGCAAAAATATTCATAAAAAACACACTTTCATTCAAACAAAACTTTTAACTGACTTCCAGATTGAATTTTAAGCTCAATTTTTTGCAAACTTTCATCATGAAGTTTAGATTATCTTCAAATTATTTTAGCTTAAAATTATATGGAGAAGCCAATTAAATAAATCATTGAAACGCACTGTGCAAATATATGCATAAAAAACACAGTGTTTCGCAAAAATTTATTTAACTGGCCAAATGATTGAATTATAAGCTTAAGGTTAGTGTGAATATTGATAATGAAGTTTTAATTATCTCCACAAAATTTCAGATCCAAATTCAATCGGGAAGTCAGTTAAATAAATTATTGAAACGCAATGCACCAAAATATGCATAAAAAATGCAGTGTTTTTAATAAAATTATTTAATTGACTTCCCAATTAAATTTTAAGCTGGAAGTACGTGTGAAAGTTCTAAACTTCATGAAGAACATGTTCACGAACTTTCAAAAAAAAAATTGACTCGAAAGACCCTCAAACAGGCTTGACCGGTCGACAATTCTTGTCAGTCCGGACTGACCTAAGTATCGTCTTATATATATTGCGTATTAATTAAAGAAGGAATTTATACCAAAATATATATCTAATTTTTTCACATTGATCTGCAATCATTAGGAAGGTTTGTCATTTTTAACCTTTTATAATTACTTTATATTTCATGAAGATAACAGAAATTTAATGCATACTGTGGCACATAGTACTTATTTATACACAGACATGAATTTAAATATTACCTGATTTGACATCACCAAATAACTTGTTTTCCTTTAGATCCTTGATGAAAAGTTCGAGCTTTAGCTTAAAAACCCCAGAAAGGATATCCGGTTGGTCATCTGGATTCAATCCCTTGTCAAACATAGCGAATAATCTCCGGCCATTT